AAAAGACCCCATTTAAAATTCTGTACAAAAAAAGACCTCATCTAAAATTCTGTATAAAAAAGGACCCCAACTAAAATTTTGTATAAAAGAAGACCCCACCTAAAATTCTGTATGAAAGAAGACCCCATCTAAAATTCTGCATAAAAGAAGACCCCATTTAAAATTCTGTATAAAACAAAGATCCCATCTAAAATTCTGTATTAAAAAAGACCCCATTTAAAATTATGTATAAAAAAAGACCCCATCTAAAATTCAGTACGAAAAAAGACCCTGTTTAAAAGTCTGTATTAAAATAGACCCCATCTAAAATCCTGTATCAAAAAAAAGACCCCATTTAAAAGTCTGTATAAAAGAAGACCCCATCTAAAATTCTGTATAAAAGACCCCATTTAAAATTCTGTATAAAAAAAGACCCTGTTTAAAAGTCTGTATAAAAAAGACCCCATCTAAAATTCTGTATAAAAGACCCCATTTAAAATTCTGCATAAAAAAAGACCCCACCTAAAATTATGTATAAAACAAAGATCCCATCTAAAATTCTGTACAAAAAAAAAAGACCCCATCTAAAATCCTGCATAAAAGAAGACCCCATTTAAACTCTGTATTAAAAAAGACCCCATTTAAAATTCTGTATAAAAGAAGAGCCCATTTAAAATTCTGTATAAAAGAAGAGCCCACCTAAAATTCTGTATAAAACAAAGATCCCATCTAAAATTCTGTATAAAAAAGGACCCTATCTAAAATTCCGTATAAAAAAGGACCCCATCTGAAATTCTGTATAAAAGAAAACCCCACCTAAAATTCTGTGTAAAACAAAGATCCCAACTAAAATTCTGTGTAAAAAAAGACCCCACCTAAAATTCTGTATAAAACAAAGATCCCATCTAAAATCCTGCATAAAAGAAGACCCCATTTAAACTCTGTATTAAAAAAGACCCCATTTAAAATTCTGTATAAAACAAGAGCCCATCTAAGATTCTGTACAAAAAAAAAGACCCCATCTAGAATTCTGCCATGACCACAGGCATTAGAGGCTCCAAGGCCAACTCACCTCAGGGTAATTCACCACCTGGAATGGCAATTCCCCATTTCCATTTCCCCCTGCTCGTACCGAAGCGGCGCTAAATGCAATTGCTGAGACAATACGGTGTGCCATATGGCCAAAAGTGGATATTAAAATTGAGAATATCAATTACCAATCCACTAATGCTGAGAGCCAAAATCCATGGACAGTAAGAATTTAATCCAATTCAGTGCCTAGAACACGAGCTGAGCCCAGAGAAGAGGAGACAAATCTACTGCTGCTCTCACAGAGAGCTAACAACTCCCATTTTTTATTGCAGGAACTACAAAACCAGCTGAACATCCCCAACCACAGCTCCAGGCCTGGTAGGAATCTACAAAAACAACAAAAGGTTCAGATGAATTGGCATCTGGTTGCACAGGGATTGAGAAATCCTAACTCAGTTACTATTTAAGAAGCAGCAGTTTGGTTGTTTTCCACATGAGCAAATGGAAGGCTCCAAAGCACCAGGAAGTTACACAGGGCAGCCAACATCTTGCTTCATTCCAGGAAAAGGCATCCTACAAACACAATATCTATTTCCACTATAATTAAAGGGCTTTGGAATTGCATAAATTGAAGGGTTTTCTTATTCTAAGTAAATTAATGGTTCAAGTTTTAAAAATTTTTAATAGCTGTGGAAGGTTTCTTCTGGGATGATATTAAGAATAATGTTACACAAAATTCTATCCACTCCCTGATTGTACAGAACTTCATTGATTACTTACACAAGAATTCCCATTAAGTCCAAATCCAGCATCTCCACGTTTCCATGAGGGACAGAGGTGATTTAAGAAACTGTTCTGCTAAGATTTCCTGTGGAATTTTAATTTACCATGTTGTCAAAGATTTCATGCTAGGATGCCTGCTACGTACTGACTGAGCAGCTGCAAGGACTCAACAAGGATAAATGTAATTTATCTTACCCAAAACAGAATCTCACTTCACTCTGCTCTTTCTGATCTTGCACTAAAGGGCTAAAGTAGTAGTAACAAAGAAATTTTAGTAATTTAAGGTTTAACAGGACATTAACTTCAATGGAACTAACAGTTTATTAGACAGTATTCTTAATTTTAAAAAAATGTTCATGAAACACCACAGAATAAAATGCACTCAGCTAATTTCAGCTTTTTTTTTTAATTAAGAAAAAGACCAGCCCTGCAAACCTCAAGTGAAAATCTGCTCTGCTGTTCCCTGCTTCCTTCTGCATGAGCTACAGCTGGGTTACTCCAATAAACTAACAAACAACTGATTATACATTAAGTAATAGATAAACAGTAGTAAAATGTTTGACAATATCAAAGGTTTGGAGGTCACTTGAATACAGGAGACATAACAAGCATTTCTTATTTTTCTTGCTGGGAAGTGTATTGTTTTAAGCCTGACTCCAGTATATCAAATATTAACCAAGCTATTTTATTTAGGCTACCAAAGTTAAGGTGTTTGGCACTGAAATATCACAGGAGCTACAAATCAAAAGTCCATTTTTCTCAAAAGATACTAAAAAATAACATAAAAGGCTTTAGAAATTTGCAGTGTTATTTTGAAACAGAGTACCCAGAGCTGTTTTAACACCCCCCAGCCTTTCTCATTCGTGCCCATTACAAGAACAGTTACCCAGAGGATGGCAGGAATTCTGGGGCAGCCTGAAACCCTGCCCAAATCGGGAGGTTCTGAGGAGGCAGGAGCCTCCTGTGGCACAGAAAGCCACCTGTGTGCACAGCCCTGATCCGAGATCACCTGGCAGCACAGACCCACGGCCCAGCAGCCTTTCTGTACCTGTGCTCTGCCTTTAAAAACTGCTTTTTAGCAACAGGCTTCATAAAAGCCAGGGACATTTTGGTGGCGTTAAGCAGGCACTGCAAGGTAAAAACGAAAATTGTGTCACCCCTTTATTCAGTTAACAGCCTATGTGAACATTTCAATAAAACTATTTACTCCTCCCACCTAGTTCCTATCTGGAGGAGCTAACGAAAATTAAGAAAAAAAAAAACCCAAAAAACCACAGATTTCTCACAGCAAATCTTCCAAACGCTCCTCCTACCCCCACCCCAGAAGAGAAGAAAGCAAAGAGAATGAGAAAGTAAATCTAAAACACAATTACGAAATAAGATCTAGTTTGGCAAAGCTGGGCTGAGGAGGAGTTGAAAAATGAGAGCTGCCTTGCTGCAAACGCCATCTTGTTGCAGCTACTGGGCCCAGGCACAGAGAGATCCATTCATTCACAGCAAAAAGAAAATCAAACAGACACCCTGGCTAATCTGCAGCCACCAAAACAACTACACTATTATCACCCCTTCTCCTTGTCCCCTCCTCGAGCACCAGGAACAGAAATAAACTCTGATCTATCGCATTCAGGGACAGACTTAGGTATTCACATATTATCTTCATTTCCTCACACGTATTTCACATACACATCGACAGCATTTTGTCTTGATTCACATCCTCGTGTCCAGATCAGCTTAAAATATGGGATAAATGTCTCACGATTAGGCGCAGATACCCTACAGCAGCAAAACGTTTAATTTTTCAGTCTTAAATCGCCTCCCCAAGTTGAGCCAACTATTCTCAAAAGCTGTTTCAATAATCACTTAAGCCTTACATTTACAGTGCTTTCCTCCTATTTCCTCCTGTGCAGACAATACATAATAACGTGGCAGTCGGCACATCCTAGAAAGGATGCCTGCTTTAAAACGAGTCCCAGCCATGACTTTGTTAGGGAATAATGAAATATCACATTCGTTAAAATTTCAGTTCATCCTCAGGAATGATAAATTGACATCTTACAACAACCTCTACATCATTCTGATTTTCTTCTGGACAAGATTTTTTGGTTAATAAAACGCTTTATCTCTTTCATATTTACATGCAAGGCTTTACACATCCTCGTTCCCTACAAAGCTGTAGGATTAAAAACCCTACACGTTCAATATCCCTCGGATGGATCAAAAAAAATAACGCTGAAGTCCTTTCGATAAAAAGCTCGGAATTGAAACAATATTTTAAACAACATTTCCAAGGAGAAAACTCCATCTTCCTATTGTAGCAAACACCCTCCATGATCTTCGTTATCGCTGCACGGGCACACAAAAATATGCAGCACCGTAATACATGGGGGAACAAATATAACAAATATGCGGTTTGAATCCATGCTCGGTTCCGGTTCTAACGAGAACAAAACCTTCCCTACCCCTCCCTCGCCCAGCACACCCAGCATGAGCCCCATCTGCGAGCCCTCGGCTGCCCGGGGGTGCTGCAAGCAGCCTTACCCTGTTTGTCTCACCCCCGGCTCCTCTTAATCAGTTTTCCACCATTACAGCAGCCACACCATTGCTTTTTTTTTTTTTTTTTTTTTTTTTCCTCCTTCCCCTTGAATTTCTCTCCAGATATTCCCTCTGCCGGCTGGATCGCTCTGGAACTCGCCTTTTGTGGTTTAAGACAAGACCCCCAAACCGTCTAGCAGGGACCACTACAGCGTAATTACAATTAAAAATGGAACCCCGCAAGATCCGAGGTCTCCTCCCTTTTCGCCTGGAAGCCTTCGAGAGGGAATCAGTCCCACCCCCACCTTTTTCCCCTCCTCCTCCAGCTACAAACACACTTCTTTTTTAGGGGAAGCTGGAGCCCCGAGGAGGTGGGAAGCGCGGGGGAGGGGGGGCTATTTCCAACCCCGCCATACCGGGGGTCGCCGAGAACGGGGGCGATGAGGAGGAGGCGGCCCGGGGGGCCCCTGTGCGGCGGCGGAAGGGGAGGACAAGGGAGGAAAGGAGAGGGAAAGGAGAAGTGCGGCAGGAGGAGGAAGCGCGGGGGAGGGGAAGGAGCGGGGCTGAGGGGGAGCCGAGGGAAGATGGCCCCGGGGTGGGGCCGGCCGGGGCTCGGCGGGCGGGAAACGCGTTCTGAGGGACCCCCGCCCTCCCCGCACCCCTCACACGGTTACCTGCCCTCCCGGCCGCTGCTCATGAACCGGGCCGGTCCGTCCGCCGCCCGCGGTCCTGCCCGCGTCCCGCCGGCCTGGGGAGGGAAGGGGGGCGGAGGAGGAGGAGGAGGCGGCGGAGGAGGAGCGGGGGAGCCGCCCGCGATGCGCCCGGCGGGTCCCGGGGAAGGCGGCAGAGCCGAGCGGGAAGGAGGGATCCGCGGGGGAGGGGGTGTCGCTGGGTCTCGACTCCTCCTCAGCCCGCTCAGCTCCCCGCAGCCATCGGGCAGCGGCAGCCTGGGCGCGGCGAACCTCCCTCCTTCCCCTCCTCCCTCCGCCCCGCCCGTGCTGCCCGCCCGGGAAACCCCGGCTCGGCTCCCACCCCGCCCCGGCCCGCCGCCCCGCGCGGCCCCGCCGCTCCCCGCCGCCCCTCACCGGAGGCTCCGCCGCCCCGGCCGCCGCGAGCCTCACCGGAGGCTCCGCCGCCTCCACCGGGCACCCGCCCAGCGCGGCCGGGAGGGAGGGCGGGCGGTGCGCGCGGCCGGGAGCCTCGCGGTGCGCGCTCCCGCGCGGGCAACGCCCTTCGGCCCCTTACGCTGGCGGCGGCCGCGCGCTTCCCGCCTCCCGCCCGCGCGCCCGCGCGCTCCCTCCCCTCAGCGAACAAAGGGCGAGGGCGGGCGGCGGGCGGGGGGATCGCGGCCGCCCCGCCGGCCCTGCAGGCCGAAAACAAGTCAGAAAGAGCCGCATGGGAACAAAAAGGCACGGAACTGCAGCCACAAATGGTGTTTAAGCTCAGGGCTGGGAGAGGCAGAGCCTGCACACCGCGTTAAATGGGAGTGCTCCGGGCTGCCGAGCGGGAAAGGGCGGGAGAGGCCACAGGCCTTAAAATGCTGCTCACAAGAGGCTGGCAGGCGATAAATATCTAAATATAATCGTGTGAGGAGAGACTGCGGGAGCTGGGCCTGGTTAGTCTGGGAAGACTGAGGAGGGATCTCATCAATGAATAAAAATGTCTCTGAGGGGTGTCGGGATGGTGCCAGGCTCCTCAGCGGTGCCGGCCACAGGACGGGAGCAATGGCTGTGAACTAAACCAGAAGTTCCTCCTCGGCATGAGGAAGAGTTTCTTTCCATGAGGGTGGCAGCGAGCAGCTGTGTGTGTGTGGAGTGTCCCTTTCTGGAGCCATCCCAAACATATTTTGACACTATTCCTATTTCATCTGCTCTAGGTGACCCTGCCTTGGCCAGGGTGATCTCCAGAGAACCCCTCCAACCCTCACAAATCTGTGATCTTTTCCCTCAGAAACTTGACAAACAGCAATCCTGTAGCTTAGAACTTCTTTTTTCCAGCTTTGTTTATAAAGGTACTCACACAGCCAAAGTTTCCAGAGCATTCTTTTCATGTTCTCCTCGCAGCATCCATCACTGCTCTGGAAGGGTTTGCATGAAAGAGAAAGTAGGAAAAAATAGTAAGGAAGCATAAAATTTGCAATTTCTGTCTTGCAGATGGGACCTCACATAAACCAGGCAGGAGACATGTCACCAAAATGGAATAATTTCCCACCAGAACTCATACTGAAACCCTAATTAATATTGAGAAATAAGTAGAGATACACTATTGTGTCACTTTTCCTCTTATCACAGCTCTAAATCTGAGGTTTTTCCCAAATATTTGTTTATGCCTTGCTAAAAGGTGAGGTTACTTGGCAACCAAAATAGGTTTATAGTAAAAGTAAAACAACCCACAGCATTATAGCAAATTTTCAATTAAAACCTATCCAGCATGAATACACTGTAATAAAATAAACAAAAGACCCCACAACACACAAAAAGCCCACAAACACAACAAAAAACAACCAAAAAAAGGTTCATGAGGCCAATATTTCTTCTGCAAACTCTTCCCCCAGTAGATTCTTGCTTGCCCAGAATTTAAAGCAGTGTTCCTCCTGTCATGCCTTCTGCAGGGAGGTGTGGGTACCTTTAATTAGTCAAAGAAAGAGCAGCTTTGCCATTTAAATGTAGGAAAGTGGATTGGCTATTATTCAGTTTGTCTGTGATGAAAAACTATTAGATCCTGCTGTGGTTAAGCCTTTGATTTATAATGATCAAATGTTTGTTTTTAAATAACTTCTGTGATGCACTAAAGCTTTAATTCGTCGCCTTGTGATTTACAAATAACAAAATAAGAAATTTACTGAAATTAAAATAAATTATTCTTGAATTACTGTCCCAAATTACTAATATTCTTTCCAGTAACCGTGGGGAAATTTCTGTTCCACCCCTGAAATGTGGACAGGAATGTTAAAATCTATGGAACCACATGGATGCAGATGGGGATGTCAATGTGTTTGAGGCCAGCATCCCCATCTGGAAAATACTGATTATTTTTTAATTATTACTGATTATTATTACTAAGTGCTTAAGGAACACCACAAGTTTCTTAGATACTTGCAAAGTTGCCTACAGATTTCAAAAGCAGTTAAACACAATATTTTAGTCATTAAATCTAAGTGAAATTTCTAGTAGGCAAGTTGCATGGTTATTTTTTTTTTAATTATTTTACTTAGAGATTGCTTTTAGGCTTAGCAGAGATTAAAATATCCATTTATGTGGAAAACAATGACCACTTAATACATTAGGCAAAAAAAGGTACCAAACATAAAAGGTTAAAACAAAAGGAAAAATTCTCAATCTTAGGAGATTTTGTGGAAAATTTTCAGCTAGCACTGGATGATACAGAGAAAAATCTGTGTAATGAACAAAAATAACATTCTGAGATTGATAGCAAATAGTAAATCACATTTTGCTTCTTTGAGCAAATAGCTGCATTGAGATTTTGTTATTGGACTAGAACAGTTGCAGTGTGAATTAATTATATCATAAATTACATAATTATAACTGATACCATTTTAAACTAATGCATGCTTTATTCCCATTGCACATTCTTATCACACAGATCCTGCTTTTCCTCCTTCGATTTATCTTACATGATTTTACCAGTGGTGCAATTCTAATAACTAAACATGGTTTGGGTTTTTTAAAATAAAATACACATTCAGATCTTCTAAGAATCTCTGGGGTTTTTTTTCCAGCGTTCTAATTTTTAAAACCTGGAGGTTTTAAAATCTGAGGAATCCCACATTGCTGTGTACAAGGTGGTTTATTCTGCTGTCCTCGTGTGATCCTGTGCTGGAAGCTGCTGCACAGGCATTATCTTTATTTTCTAAATTTATTTTCTAAATTTTTAATCCTAATTTTTCACACAGATCCATGAACTGCCATGGTTTGCACTGTTCAGGGGATGAATGTGCAAATCACCAGAATTAAGTGGACTTACAGATATAAGTTTATCTCTTCCTATACACTGCAAAAATATTGTTTAAAACTTTTCACTGAAAACATCTATGAATACTTGAAGATCTGGTATGGATAATTAACAAAACAAATTTTAATGTTTTTTGATCAGTCCACTTTGAAGTTACAGTTCTGCTCCTGGGTTAGAGGACAGAAAACCTCTCTGTAGAGGGGTTGCTCCACAGTTCTCCATTGCAAAATTTCTTGCACCTTTTTCTCAATCAGCTGACATTAACCCCTTTGTAGGGAGTATCCCGAGTTGGGTGAAGCTTTGGGCAGTTCCACTTCTTAAAGTAATTAATTTTTGCACACAAATACCATTGTAATAAACAAAATGTATGTGTTGTTATTGTATGATTGTTATGGTCAATCAAGATGCCCCTGGGCTCTGACAGAATAACTGTCACCAAATAGTGGAAAGGTATAAATTTTGCTTTCTATAAAAGGGTGAAAAATCAACACTTACCAAAACTGCAAAGCTCCTCAGATGGTATAAGGATACTGCTGAAGTAATAAATAATTGTGTTTTGCCTCCTTTCTTTGTTCCCTCAGGTGTTTTTAATGGACTGGCTCACAACCCCCCCTCATGTTCCAGAACCTTCCCATTCCCATTCCATGACCCTTTGTGTGCCTTTGTGTCCTGGGCTGGCTGAGAGCGTTCTGGGAGCCCTGGGCAGAGCCAAGGACACACTCACGTGATTGACAATTGGTTTGAAGTTCTCCATTTGGTCCCTAAAGAAAAGCAGAACTCTCATTTCTCCTGACATTGCACCGAAATTAAAGGAAGCTTATACAATGTCTAAACTTCAGCTGTGCTTCTGTCCTGAGTATTCAGAACTCTTTTTTTTTATAACTATTGTTTTATTTTTTAAAATCTAATTCAGAGCAGTTCCAACCTGCTGTTATTTGCCACTTCTTTAACAATTGGATGACAATCATCTCTGCTACCTTCTGAGGAAGGACCCAGGTAGCAGAATATCAAGATCATTCATTAGAGAAAATAAATAAGTAAAAGCAAACTGAATAGAAATCCTCAGTGGGGCCAGGCAGAGCAAAAAGTAGGAGTAGCTCAGTCTCCTTAGTTACATTCTGCATTCTCACAGTTTCTTTCAGTTTCCCTATTATTATGGAACAAAAGAGTTATTTTAAACACTTCTGAGAACATGGCATAAAATTAGCAGAACTGTGTTAGTCTGCAGAGAATATAATTGACAAGGTTTTAAGGTAAGGAGAGCTGGTTTGGGAGTCTGTGTCAAACAGCAAAGTCCATGCTCTGAGTTTATAACTGAGCCAGCCATGGGATTCCTGAATGCCAGTCCTGGGGAGGGTTATGTGTGAGATGGGTCAAGGACAGTTCATTCAGAATTGTGAGAGACTTTGGGAATCACTTCAGAATCCTCTGGAAAAATCCATTGCTGTGCAAGGCAAGGAGCAGAGTGTGAAGGGCCAGAGCTGTCCTGGGTGTGTTCCTGGGGTGTTACAGTGTTATAATCTTGTCTCTTATGTGATTGTCTGGGAATATTTTGTCCTCAACAGAGGCAGAATTGGAGCAGGACACGCTGGGCTCCATGTCCTTAAAAAGGCATTATCTCTAGTCCTGTTTTCTTACAAATTCTAATCTGGTTTTCTCACAAATTGTGGCTGGAGGTGCTTTCATTTCCAGGGAAAAACCTTGCTCCTATTCCTTTGTGACCCATTTAAAAAGCATCAGTGCCACAGGTACCTGTCACTTAACAATAATACAAATTTATTCCTGGTTCCTATGTGTGGCAGAACTTGTAGCATTTTCCAAAGCCAAGAAATACAAATACTGTTCTTCGACACAGGAAGCTGATGCAGAGGGATGTGAAATTCTTTACCACCAACACCCAGCACTTTGTGGAAAGAAGGGAGATGAAATGTTGGGGTTGCTTGAACCTGGATGTGCTGTTCCTCACAGTCAGCACCTGGTTTATACTGTGACACAATCCTACAGTGACACA